CGGGGGACGCTGGGGCTGCGGCGGGAGGGACCCCGACGGCCCGCGGAGCGGACGGGGCGGGGGCGCCCCGAGTGGCTTCTTCCTCACTGCGCTGAGAGATGCCCAGCCCGCGGCAGGGCCAGGTTGCAGGCCGCTCGCTCGGTCAGGCTCCCCTGCACCCCCCCCCCGCCCCTACCCGGCGCACCAGGTCGGATGCCCAGGCGTCTGCTTCCCCCTCTCCAAGGCCAAGGTGCTATCCAAGGGGATCTGGTCCTAACTCACTTTGAATTCCATCTCTATACGGGTCCCTTCCCTGGAGGAGCATTGCCTTCCAGATCCCTTCCGTTGCTTTGCGATGCCCTCCTAGAACTTGCTTCACCCATCCTTCCTTTGGGCTGGTGTGGCTCTCTGGTAATAACCACTAAGAAGAGTGACCAAGATACTCTTTTGGGGTCTCCAGGGTCTTAGGGAGGTTTGAAGAGCAGAGGTTCGGACGTGTGCACCGATCAGCTTCATATCGCCATAATTAGATGTTGAGTAAGTGCCTGTTGAGGCAAGGTTTCTTGGACTACCCCGGGGATCTTTTCACTAATTCTAGCTACTCTGGATGACTATATGAACTATATGAACACCTGACTGATGTGGGCCATTGTGGAGGGAGAATGAACAGGGTTGACATGTACAGAGATGAATGGAATTAGGGGGATGCCTTTAAGATCACATTCCTGGTTGTGCCAGTAGGAACTGGGACATCACCACAAGTCTGTGAAACCAGGGACATATAATACTGTGTTTAGTTATACATGCATACATACATATGTATATATACACACATGAATATGTATGTGTAGGTATTATACATGCATTTTCGATGGTACTGTGGCTTGAATTCAGTACCTTGCTCTCAGCTAGCTTATGCTAGTACTCTACCACGTGCCTCTAGCCCTGGTTGTTTTTTTTTTGCTAGTGTTCTTTATTTTTGTTGTTGTTCATGGGGCTTGAATTCTGGGCCTGGATGTTGTCCCTCAGCTCTTCAGCTTAAGGTGAGCACTCTACCACTTGAGCCACAGTACCACTTGCAGATTTCTGGTGGTTAGTTGGAGATGAGAGTCTCAGGGACTTTCCTACCCGGGCTGGCTTTGAACCATAATCCTAAAATCTCTGCCTCCTGAGTAGCTAGGATTACAGGTGTGAGCCACCAGTGCTCTGCTTGCTGGTGTTCTTTAAGGATGTAATTTCAAAGATTTTTCTGCCCAGGTTTGCTTCTAACTGTGATTCTCTGATCCCAGCTTCTTCAATAGCTAAGACTATAGATGTGAGCCACTGGTTCCATCTCATTATTTTTGTACTAATGAGTAGAGATTAGTAAAATCAAATCACATACTGAAAGGAAGACTAAAGGGGAGGTTGCCAAATGATAATGGACAGACTAAGTGGTATGTCAGATAATGTATGGGTGTAGGATAAGCAGTTTCATCAGGGATCCATTCTGTTTAAAAAAGAATTTTTTTTTTTTAATGCTCGTCCTGGGGCTTTAACTCAGGGCCTGGGTGCTGTCCTTGCATTTTTTTTTTTTTTTGTTTTCTCTCTCAAGGTTAGTGCTCTGCAACTTGAGGCAAAGCTCCAATTCCAGCTTTTTGGTGGTTAATTGGGGATGAGAATCTCATAGATTTTCCTGCCTGGGCTATCTTGGAACTGCAACCCTCAGATCTCAGCCTGCTGAGTAGCTAGGATTACAGGTGTGAGCCACCAACACCGGGCTTCCAGTATCTTTTTACTCCACCTTTGCCTAGCAATTTCTGCCTGGTTTCTTCTGCTTTGAGGATGGTGGGATTATGGAATTGAGTGGGGATTGGATAAGTGCAGTTCTGGGAAGATGCTGTTTTATGTCTAGGCAGTTCTGGGAAGACAAATTGCAGGTACTAGATGGGAAGAACAAAGCACACTGTGGCATGCAGCACAAAAATTGTGAAAAGGGAAAGGAGATCCCAATGGAGCAGTGGTAAGGAGCTATGGGGGGAGACAAATAGGTATTTTTTGATATACTTGTTCACCAGCTTTCCCCTCCTCCATCGCTCTAGGGATTGACCTCTGGGCTCCTTACATATCAAGCTCATGCTGTACCACTGAATTATCACACCACCTACCACATGTGGCTGCTTTTTTTTTTTTTAACTTGAAGACTATTTTTTTTTTTTTGTACTGGGGTTTGTTTTTGCTAGGTAGGTGCTCTACATCCAGTCATTACCTCCCCCCATTCTCCACACTGGTTATGTTTGAGATAGGGTCTTTTTTGCCCAGGTCCAAGCTTGGACTGCAGTCATCCTATTTTATGCTTCCCATGGTAGCTGGGAAGGCAGGTGTGTCTTACCATGCCAGCATCTTTTGTTGATATGGGTTTAAAGCCCTTGGACAGCATCGGGCCTGGAGATCAGATACCAAAGATACCACATTATTTTTAAAAGAGTTGCCAGCAGGGAACCAAACATTCTGCCTCTGCCCTTTCCTAGCCCTTTTAGTTCTTCAAGTTCTGATAGCTTTCCCAGGACCTTGAAGTGTGGGGGAGGGGATTTCTCTCCATTAGTGAGTGCACATATTGATAATATTTTGTTGTGGGAATTCCCATTTAAGATTTTCCTTCCCCATGGGCCACTGCACCTACATGTTCCAGCCACATTTGAATATGACTGGAACTGCCAGGAAATGCCAGGAACTGACACAGAACTGCCACAGGTTCAAACCCAGGGAGATTCCCAGAGTGCAGAACATCAACCCAGGATGCCGAGCTGTGATACAGGGTGCTGTGGCCTTGGTGCCTACCAAGTTCACGAAATCATCGCAGAAAAGAATTTTAACACATCTAATTAGGTGAGATGTTTGTATTAATTTTATTTAGCAGAATGGGTACATGAGAAACCCCAGGTTCATTGTGTAAGGACCATCCGCTTCGCTTCAGGCTCAGGTCTATCTGAGGAATTCAACTTTACTTTGCTACAGATATGCATATTCTTTGGGCTTTCCCCAATCATCTTGCATCATTCTGATATTATTTACATTCCCAAGGGAGACAATAAGTCTGAGGGGATCTTATTAATGAAAGAGTTTTAAGGACACAGGTACCTGTTTCCTGCAACTTTTTTTTTTTTTTTTTTCTGGTATCCATCCTGGGGCTTGAACTTAGAGCCTTAATGCTATCACTATCTTTTGCTCAAGGCTAGTGCTCTACTACTTGAGCCAACTCTTTGGTAGTTAATTGGCAATAGAGTCTCATGGACTTTCCTTTCCTGGGCTGGTTTAAAACCACCATCTTCATGTCTCATCCTCCTGAGTAGCTAGGATTACAGGCGTGAATCACCAGTGCCTAGCATATTGTAAATTGATCCCTGGCAAAGTTAACTAATGCTGTTTAGCTTAATCATACAGAGAAATCTTTGCACTAAAAAGTACTATGTATCCACTGAAATACAAGGCAGCTTTGGAGTTCATGTTTCAATTTCTTTTTTTCTTCTTTTATTGTGGTGGTATCATTTACTCTGATAAATTCATATTCCATTTTTTTAATGTCTCAGAGCAAATAAAAATTTGTTTTAAATTCAAGTACTGTATTTGAAATGTACATTATACTCACATTAGTAGCACAGTGGGATTACTGTAACAGGCGTTTACATTCATAATACCCAGTACTAAGGTTGTAACGCTGTGATAGATTATAGTAGATAGTTTTTTAAAATCATAATCATTGTTGCTTAGTATGGTAACTTCAGTCCAGTAGCTTATATGATTGCATTTCTTAAAGCTTTTATACAGTTTATAACATTTAACTAATGTTACATGAATTAAAAAAAAAGTCAAACCTAGGACCAGCTAGATGCGTATTCTATCACTGCACTGCATCCCCAGTCTAAAGGAAATGTTTATACATCACATATTTATACAAGAATAAGCACATAGCATGCTATTGTCTCTTTGATGAAACAAAACCATTCCTTTTCACAAAATAGAATAAGCCAGGCCAGAAGGAATCTGAAGCAAATGAGAGAAAGTTTAAATGTTGACTGGTTGATATATACAAATACATGAAGAGAAAGAAGGGAGAGACAGAGAGAGATACAGAGACTGTAACAGCTGTACTAAATGCTAACATTGTAGCCCTTAGATGATACTTTAGCTAGAAAAAAAGTATGGTGAGTTACACTCAGCCATTTTTTTTCTGTTTAGAAAAAAATTAATAGCCTATAAGTTTCTAATGTTTACAGGTATTCATTATTTAAAGTCAAATATACTTGTATTAAATAAATTAGTTTTAAGAACTTTGTTGTGGTACTTTGCTTATTAACAAATATGCGTTCTATCCACATTTATTACAGTTTTAACAATTTTAAAAGAAGTCCTGCAATCATGTTCAGCATAGATAACAATCATGTTATCTTAGTTCACATAAATGATTACAAGAAATATTTGTAATAGTTCATATAGTATTTTACTAAGGCTCATAGAAAAACACTCTAATCATATTTTACTTTAAGATGTAAAATTGGGATAGTGAGAGCTTGGGTAACTGTTCTAGTAACGAACTGCCTTTTTAATTTGCTCTTTGTGTTTAATACAGTTGGGTCTAAGATATTTGTTTTCTGTGTGGAAGGATACAACATTTAAAGTTCTTTTAATAAGCTGACTCTTCTGG